TTTAATCATTACAAATAATCCTGTCATTATCCACATATACAGTTGAGGAAAATGAGGCTCAGAGAGGTTAAGTCATTTGCCCCAAATCACAGACTGACAGAGCTGAAATTTGAACTCACACCCCATGAGGAAGAGATAATTCCAGAGCCTGTGGGGAAACCCTGGCTGGGGGTAGGCAGGAGGATGAGGGGGAACCTCAGCCACCCAGGACCCCAGCCCTCAGCCAGGCTCCCACTGCACTCTTCCAGCATTAGTCCCAGCTTTCCCCGCCAAGGTGCTGGGGATAATGAATGAGATGCTCTGGTTGTCATGGAGACGCCATGGCAATGCTGCACTTTCGGGAAATACCACGGTAACCGTGGCCACCGCTCTGGAGTTGAAAGTCACTCCCTATTCCATCTCCCCACCCAAAAATACTCTGGTTCCCCACAATCTTCCCCAGGACCCACAAGAAAAAGGGGGCTGAAATGCAAGGACCTTCTTACAGAGCAAGCTGTCCAGAGATTGGGACCAGGAAAGGGGTCTAGCTTGGGCCCTGGATGAACGAGTGGGCTCCAGGAATGAAAATAAGAGTTCCCTGGGAGCAGAGACTGAGCCAGCTGTGCCCAATGGTAAAGTGTGCCCAATAGCCCAACTCACATGTACCTGGTGCCTACTGTGTGCCAGCAGACCTCCTGGAAAGGGCTGTGTGCATCACGCTAGCTCACCCTAGCGGTGGCAGCTAGCATCACAATTAAGGGCTCAGACTGGAGCCAGCCTGCCTGGGCTTGAATCTTGGCTCCATTATTTACTAGCGCTATGACCTTTGAGCAAATCTGTCAACCTCTCTGAGCCTCAGTTTGCCTAACGGTAAAACAGGGTTTATACTACTGAACTCTCACACAGGGCTGCTGCCAAGACAGAGAGGATGTGTATAAAGCACTGACCTCAGTGCCTGGCTAATAAAATGATTATCCATTAACATATTTGGAAACTGAGGCTCAAGAAGGAACTGGTCCAAACCACATATCAAATAAATAGTGGGTGGACAAAGATAGAAGAAGGGAAGTCAGGAGGTCAGGCTGAAGTCAGCGGGGAAGAGCAAGAGAATGGGCTCCACGAAGAAGTGAGAGGTTTGAGATCACACTGGGAGTTGGGAACAAGCAAATGATGCGCTCCCTGTTCCTTATTCTGTATTTATTGAGCACCACTAGGTACCAAGCACAGAAGGAGGCACTGAAAATGCAGTGGCCACCAAGACCTTCCGGCAATGGTTTCTAGAGGTCTTTGGGCTCCAGGGTTTTAGGTCTCTGGAGTGATGCTGCCGCGGGGTGGATGGGCAAGGTCCCCACAGCCCCAAATGCTCACCCAGCTCACATTTTTCCAGCCTGGGTCCTTGCTGACCATGCCCCCTGCAGGCCACCCTCCTCCCATACACACACCACTCACACGCAAATGAATTCATAGGCAAACTCACAGGGTAGTGACGTGCTTAAATGGTGTCATCGCAGGCATTGGGACAACAGGCACAGGGGTAAGGGGTAGGGGGTGGCTGAGAGGAGGCCAGCGCAGGGAGAGCCCTGCAAGCAGACTCAAAAGCATGTGAATGGGCCCCCAGGCTCGGGCAGGGACTCTGGGCAGGGACTCGAGCAAGAGAGGAGGCAGTGGCGGCTGCAGGCCCAGGCCCTGGTAGCCACATATACACCCAGGGCCAATCCCCACAGCTGATCCAGCCCCTCCCAGACTGTCACACCCCCAGCACGATCAGACCACCCCCCCCATCCAGGCACACCCACAGCTGCCCAGCTCCACCAGCCACCCTGCCACGGCCCGCCCCACCCACCACGTCCAGTGCAGCAAGGAAAATCCTCCACATTTGCTTCCCAGCTGTGCGGGAGTTTCTCCAGCGCAATTACACCCCTGGGAGGCCAGACCAGAAGCAAATCCCTTCCTCTGCTGGAATTCGCTGCACGCCCCCTCCCCCACCACCCCTGCAGTGCCGCCTGGCCCTATGCCAAGCTGCCGCCTGTCAGTCACCCCACCCCAGTCCAGGGCCGCCACACCAAGGGAGGGGCTGTCGGAAGTCTGGCTCAGAGTCGCAGGGCCACAGAGAGCACAGTCCACCTTACAGTAAGCACACGGGGACACGGGCCCGGAGAGGGGGAAGGCCTCCCTGCCCTCACACTGGCCAGGCCAGCCCTACTCCCACCTACTGTGGCCCATTTTCTTGTCCATTAAAACCCGGTCCCTCCTCCTTCAAGGCCAGCCTCAGCAGGGGGTTGGGCTCCACTGGCTGTGGATTTCAGAAGTCCTAGCTGAGCTCTCCAGCTCTGCATCCCACCATCCAGTGCCAGCTGTCAGCCGCTCTCATGACGACAACGACCAGAATGCTGGTCTCCAGCTTCACGGGAAGTTTTCCAAGGCACAAGTGGCCTCCTACCCACAGTAGGTGCTCGAGAGCGACGTGCCCTTGCCAAGTACGTTCCCCTTTGTGAATCGGCAACGAGGCAGCGCCAAGCTAAATGCACTACTAATATCACCTTCCACTTACGAGACACACTGTGTCTGTATTACATGCTACTGTTTCACCCTCACCACAGCACCATGACCAATATTCCCACTTCACAGATGAGGAATTGAGGCCCAGGGAGGGCCGGTGACTTGCCGCAGCCCACAGAGCTAATGAGTGGGCGAATGGCAATGTCAGCACAAAGCCAGAGCCTGGCTGTGCATCCCTCAGTTCCACAGCCCCTCTGTGCGCACCTGGGCCAGCTGACACCGGGCGCCCCGCACATCCCATTCTCTGCTCCCTTTGAATAGTTCTCCTTCTGTTTTTGTTTTCATCCATGTTATGTGTGTTTTAACATCACAAGCAGCCTCTAATAGATCCTTCTGGGAAGCAGCCCCATAAATGGTCCATCCATCAACAAGCAAGGCATAAAGCACTGGTTCACTCCCTGGTTCTCGACTGGGGAGCTGGTTCTGGGCTCCCTGGCAGGGAAGGCCCAACAGAAAACCTCGGGAACTTAGACCTCACATGTTGAGAATTTGTCTTTCTTCCAACAGGGCTTGAGTTGAGAGTTTACCTTTGTACCGGCTCTGAAATAAAGGTTTACCCAGCAAACAAACTAGACAGCCTTAGGCGGAGGGGGCTGTGTGGAGACAAGGCAGGCCGGGAACAGCCGCCCTCCAGTCCCAAGGACAAGCTCCTCACACAGACCGAGGCTGTCAGGACCATGGCAGGGAATGCCATTCAGTGGCCCGTGGAGCCTCCCAAGATAGGGCTCCTCTTTCTGCCCAAATGCCAAATCTGCCTACAACAGAGTCAAATCCATCCCGACTATTTTTCTTAGGCTCAGATCAAAATCGAAAGAAAGAAAACATTTCCCTACAAATACCGTAACGTCCCTCGCTGACACAAGCCAACACTGACTGAGCTCCTGCTGATTCACGGGGCTATGCCAGAAGCTTTCCCTGCTTCACCACCCTCGACCCTCCCACCCTGAGACGTGGTATCAATGGCATGTGCACTTCACAGACGAGGAAACGGAAGCTCAGAGAGGGCAAGTAACCGACTCAAAGTCACACAGCTGGGCAGAACTGGGACTAGGATGCCCCTTCCAGCCCTCGGAGCCCCTGTTCATAACCCCTACACAGTCCTGCTGCCCAGCACCCCACACCATCTCTAAGCCATGTCTGACACCCAGGAGAGGCTTCCTGCACGTGACCAGCCCTGGGGCTGCCGACCTGGCTTCTCTAGCAATGGCAAGTTTCAGCCTCCTGGGAAAGCCTGCCCTGACAGAGTGGGACACGAGGGGCCCCCAAAAAGGCAGTTCCTCAGCCAAAGAGATCTCCCCGCCACCGACCCCATATAAGAAAAGGGGACTACCCCCTCCCCCAGGGAGAAGTCTCATGCTAAGCAAGAAGAAAGAGGCAGGAGTGAGGGCCAGAAGCAGAAGACCTCAGCTAGCAGGCACAGCACAAAGGACAATGGTGACCAGCATGCCTCATGGGCTGGGGACGTGCCAGGCACTACCCCAAGCTCTCCCCAATCCTTACTCCATTTATTTGTCACTTATTCCTAATGAAGTAAAAACAATTGTATCACACCCTGAGCTCCTCCCATCTGCCTCCCCTGCGCAGGAGCTGGGAAGAGCTCGTCGCCACCAGGCCTACCCTCCCGCACGCCCCCGAGAGACCCCAAGGAGCAGGCAGACTCAGGGGCCCCCATCTCACGGATGCAGAAGTCAAACCCCATGTGAGCCTGGAATGCACACCAGCCTCCCAGCCCCTCCCCAGGCTCTGAACACTCAGCGGACGAGAGGGAAGCGTCCCCTCCGAGTGAACCCCCCCATCACTTCCTGTGTGCAAGACCCTTCCCTCTCTGTTTCCTCAACTGCACAACGAGGGGCGTGGACTAGAGCAGAAGTGTGTGACCCTGTGGGGGTTACAGACCCTCTGAGAATCCAGTGACCACTGTCAGTAGACTCTCTCCCCAGGCACACAGAGTCAGCGTGGCTGGGATCAGCCACCACCAAAAGCCAAGTTAAGAACATGGAAACTCTCTAGGGGCGCCTCGGGCCTTGACAGGCCACAGCTCTCAGGGTCTAGAACGTCTGAGCGCCCTGGGACCTCACCATTCCAGCTTCCCCTGTGGCCCTGAAGCAAATCTTTAACTCCTGGGCCTGTTGGCTTCAGGTGGCTTTGTGGACTTGCCCAGCTGTCGGAGAAGCCACAAGAGAAACGGGGCCCTTGCTCCCTGTCCCGCAGCCTCCTCCTCCTCCATCAGGAACCGGCCAGGTCAGCTGCGGGCCTCTCCCTGGGGCAGCCCAGGGGCTGGGACGCTGGAGGAGCCTGCCTCTGATTCTGGGCACAGACAGGACCCAGTGCCCCCAGGTAGGCATGTGCGTACACACACCATGCGTACACGTACACACTCAGACCTGGAAGGACGGGACAGGGCAGGGCACCAAGGACAATGGTCAGAGGGACAGGAGCCAGGGAGAGAAGACCAGACCTACCGGAGCTCAGGCGGCGGCTGCGTGGCTCCTCTTCCCTTGACTGCGTCCTCTCGATGGCCGCACCTAATCCCAGAGCCAGGACAAATGGCATTACTGTCGGCCCAGTCCCCTCCCCAGGAGGGAGGGAAGAAAGGAAGGAGGGAGGGAGGGAGGGAGGTAGCCCTAGGGCACCCTGAGCCACCAACTACATTCCCAGAAACCTCCAGCCTCCCTCATCGCCACCTCCCTTGTCAGGACGGCCAGCCCCTACCACCGACCTCCTTGATCTCAGAAAGGAGATGCGCCCCCCACAATTTTGTCCCATGCCCAGGGGTCCCCATAGCAGGCAGGGACCCTGCGATGAGGGGCCTTTCCTAGAAGAGGAGCAGCATATCCCTGACCTCATGCCAATGGGTGCTCTGGTCCCTCTCAAGACAGGTGGAAGAGGCCCCTCCTTGAATGGAAGGCACCCTTGCGGGCAATACGGGTAGCTGGGTTCTGGTTCCAGCCCTGCCTGACTTCCTACGTGACCTCAGGCAAGGCCCTGCCTCCTCCAGACTTCAGTTTCCCCACCTGTCCTGAGAAAAAGAGCTGTCCCGATGTGCCCAGCTGACACGATGCTGGCTTTTGGCCCTGCCCCCACCCCAGCTCAGCTACCAGGCCCTTCCCATTGCCCCACCCTGCAGAGGAGGAAGAAAAGTGATGGACAAAGGTGTGGAGGGTGTTAGGATCCACGCCAGAGTGTCAAAATGCTAGAGCTGAACAGGGCCTTGCAAAGCCAAGGCCCAGAGAGGAGAAGCAGCCTGGCTGCGGCTGCACAGTAAGCGGGCAAAGGGCCAGGCCAGCTGGGTTTGCTTCTTGACGTCCACGTTCACTTAAATGTGAAACACTTCAAAGTGTCCACCTGAAAAGGCATTTGCCTTCTTAAAGGAAGCCAGGGAAGCACAAGGCAATTTGCTAATGGTAGAATTTCAGGGCCCAAGAGCTGCAGCAGGGGGAAAAAAACAAAAGAGTGGTGTGTTTATGTGTGTGGGGTTGAGGGATGGAGACCGGGCTGGCTTTCCAGGCACCTTGTGTCACCCCACGAGGGTGGCCAAGGGTCCCGCCAGCCCCAGGGAAACCCTAGGAGCCCCTTCCAGGGATTAGCAGCTTTGGCCACCTCTTGTGAAGTCACCTGAGGCCCAGAAGACAGGCCCAGCAGTGGTGACAAGGAGACTTGCCCAGGTGGACACCCCAAGACCAGCGCACGCCAGAAGATGTCGAAGCCCTGGGGAAACTGAAAAACCTTCAGGCCTGTGGCCAGAGAGGAGGCAGGCAGGTGGGCTGGGGATGACACAGAGGAAGGGAAAAGCTTTGAGGGCTTTGTAGCTGCAGAAGCCCCCTAATCTCCTGGAGGCCTGGCGGGCAATGACAAGGGGCCTGCTGAGACCAAGGGACTTCACTGAGGCCCACATGAAAGCAGCCTGTCCCTCCAGACTCGCTGGGGCTTGTCACTAGGACAAGAGCCTGCTGCCAACATGCCTCGGTGTGAGGGGCTCCACACACTGACACGGAGGCGCAGCTGGCAGACGGAGGGGCAGGAGCTGGGGTAGGTGTGCAGGGGGCCTGGCTTTCTCTAGAGCTCAGACAGCTAGAGAGCAGGGACACAGCAAAAAGCGCCCGGTGACCTACTTCACCCACCCTCCTTTTAAAGGGCCCCACAGGCCTCAGTGAGACTCTAGAAGGTGCCTCACAGGGGTCCTGAACAGTTCACAGGGTCAGAAGACCAGAGTTCAAGTCCTGGACGAAGCACGAACCCAGGTCTGGGCTCAGGCACCTCCTGAGACTCTGCACCTAGATGCCCCACATGCCTCACCCTATTCCCAGCCTTGCACCAGCTACCTGTGACCTCGGGCAAGCATCGCTCCTTTCTGGGCCTTGCTTTGTTCACATAAAATGGAATCAATACTGGGCTTGGTGGTCCGCACCTTGGGAGGCTGAGGCTGGAGGATGATTTGAGCCCAGGAGTTCAAGTTCAGCCTGGGCAACATAACAAGACTCCATCCCTGAAAAAGGACATTTTGGCTGGGCACAGGGGCTCACACCTGTAATCCTAGCACTCTGGGAGGCCAAGGCAGGAGGATCACTTGAGGTCAGGAGTTCGAGACCAGCCTGAGCAACAGTGAGATTCTGTCTCTACTAAAAATAGAAAAATTAGCCAGGGATGGAGGCGAGCGTCTGTAGTCCCAGCTACTCAGGAGGCTGAGATGGGAGGATCGATTGAGGCTAGGAGTCTGAGGCTACAGCGAGCTATGATCATGCCACTGCACTCCAGCCTGGGCAACAGAGTGCGACCCCATCTCAAAAAAATAAATAAATACAATAAATTAATTAATTTAAAAAACGGAATTGTACCAGATGATCCCATGGATCATCCCTCCTAACTCTAAACTGGGTGATTCTGTAGGGAACATAACTGACCTCTTCAGCAAATCCCCAGAAACAGGTGCCACAGTCCCAGCTCCCTGCCGTGGATAAACCCATCGGTCACCATGTTCCACGAAGAATGCACATTCTACAACTACCCTACACCACCACGTGCTGGGCCCTTTGCTGAATGCTTGGCCTCCACTTCATCAGGGCATCATTTCACACATGTGGAAACTGAGGTTCACAGAGGTTAGGCAACCTGCTCAAGCTCCCAGTTGTGAAGTGCTTAGCTGAGATTCGAACCAGCGTCTGTGTGGCTCTTAATCCCCACATTCGACAGCATCAGCCACAGATAACCCAAAACCTGCTGGGGCCAGGAAAATGCCATCGGCTCTTTGCACCTCCCACATTTTCCAGCATGTAATGCCGAGGCTAATGTGCAGGCAGGCTGGTGGCCAGGCAGGGATGGGGACATCCGCGTGGGCATGGAGCATTCCGCAGACTCGCCAGCCTCCAGCCCGGCCATTTGTCCACCACTGTGGCTACAATGCCCTCACCGCCATCAGCACACCACAACCACCGCTGGGTCATTTTTAAATCAAAAGCTTTTTCACAGGCGTTGCTTTGGTGTCACGTGACAATTTATAAAAGTATAGTGGGGATTTCTTCCTCCTTTCTCAGAAGAGGAAAGTGGGCTTCCTAGAAGATCAGTGCCTTCCCAAGAAGCACACAAGGAGGCAACGTCTGAGATGAACTTGGCTGGGGCCCACATCCTCTGCCTCCCTGCCCAGGGCTGCGTCTGCTCCTCCATGCTCTCAACTTTCCAGGTCAACCAGCACTGGATGGGCCTTTGGGACAACAATGACCATTTTTGAGAGTTTACTCGGTGCCAGGTATTGTACTCGGCACTTCACATATTATCTCATTTAACCATCTGGACATCCCCGTAAATTAGCACTGCACCTGTTTTCATTTCACAGACAAGAGGCACGGAGACTCAGAAATGTCAGGTATCGTGTCCAGGGTCACCGCGCCAGAAGGGGCAGAGCCGGCATTCAAACCAAGCTCAGTGTGCCCCAGAGCCTGAGGCCTAAACCCCTGCGCCGGGCAGCTCTGTCTGGGAGACTGTCACAGGCAGTTCCTGGAGGGGACAGGAGGCAAACACATCAAACGACGTGTGTGTCTGGCAGGTTATGGCATGATTACGATAATAGAAGGACAAACAAAGCTCTAAGGGAGCCCACGAGAGGGAAGGTGTTACAAACGTCCGGGCAGAAGGCCAGGTGTCTGAGCAAGGGACCTGGGAACAGAGGGAGGTGACAGATATGAGGGAGGCGGCCTCGTGAGACCTTGGTCAAGTGTCTTGCTCTCTCTGGACCTCAATTTGCCCGGCTGTTAAGAAAAGTCCCTGGAATATCTCCAAAACCCACTGCATCCCTAAAGACCCTCGGTCCCTGGGAAAACAGGCAATGCCTGGTGTCGGCCTGGCTATCGGCCCTGGGGACTCTGAAATGTCCTTGGCCGTCCTGGCACAGCTCAACTGCTTGGAAACAGGGTTGGAGAAGCACAGGGCTTGGCTGGCATGCCTGGGCGCCAGTGAAGTGTGGGTCCTGAGAGGGCCACATTCCGCCCATTGTCAACCTCTCCATGGCTCCACTGGAGCAAGCACCACCCAGCCTGGAGCCGGCCCAGGAACCGAGGTCACGCCAAGTGCCCAGGGGAATGCCACTCCAGGCCCTGCCCTGCCCCTCCCCGCCAGCCCTGTCCAGAGCCCTACATGCAACTTAGGTCCACTCGGTGTCACCCACCCTTCCCCCAAGCCCTCACTCCCAAGTCCCTAAACGCGGCCACTGGGATGTAGAGACAAGGAGTCCTACAGGAGACCTTAAGGAAAATGACCACCCCCATTCCCAAGGGACCTGTGCAAGACAGAGGCTGCCCATGCCAAGGCAGTGAGGACCCCGGCTGACGACGGGGAGAGAGTCCGTTACAGCAGCCCTTAGCTCTCTGGAAGGCAGAGGGGCTCAGGGACTTGCTGAAAAAACTCAGCCCAAGTCTCCACACCCACAGCTGCCCCATCAAACCACATGCCTAATATGCTCCTGCTCAAAAAGCTGCCACCCACGGGGCGAGGCCCCCGAACCCAACTGACTACACGGGTCACTGGGACGGCCTCTGTGAACTGGGCATGCTACGTGCCAAAGCCTTTGCTAAGTGCATTATGGACATTTTCTCATTTAACCCTCACAGTAAACCTGTGAAGCAGCTACTATAATTGGCCCATTTTTACAGACGAGAAACTGAGGCTCAGACAGCTTACGTCACTTGTCCAGAGTCCACGGCCAAGCAGCAGAGCGAGGATTCGCACCCACGCTTGCCTGACTCCTCACGTCTCCTCAAATGCTCCCTGCCACCCTTTGAACCCTGGAGCCGGCCCAACATGTCTATGTACAGGAGGGGAAACCAAGGCACAGAGCTCTCTCTGTTGGCAGCAGAGCCAGGATAAGGCCTGAGGCCTCCAGCCTCCCTTCCGTTCCCTCCGCCCCAGAAGGAACTTCCGCCCACAAGACATGCCAGGCAGCAGGGCTGGGATGGGACCTCCGCTGTGACAATGGGGACTCAGAATCTTCCTTCTCTTCTGTCCAGAAGGAAGAGGAAGCAGGG